TTCAACAAAAAACTGTGGATTCCTCCTTTCACCACGTCGCCTTCTAACCCTGGCACGACCATCGTGTATGCCTAAACAAAATCGAGACTCGTCACTAAAGACAATACTGTTCCATTCCTGATCCCAGAGTTACCGTTGTCTGCACCACTCAAGGCGATTACGTCGGTGTAAGGGTTAGAAGGCAACGTGGTGATAGGAGGAATCCTCAGTTTTTTATTGAAAGACATGTTCATCACACTGTTGGAGTTATGGTTTGGGGTGCTATAGCTTATGGTTCCAGGTCACCTTTAATCTTCATCAGAGGTAACATGAACCCTGGCAGATCCAACTTTCCAACAAAATTATGCCCGACCACATGTTGCAAGAGTCACAATAGACTTCTTTCAACATAATGATGTCACATTGTTACCATGGCCACCAAGATCTCCCGACTTATCCCCAAATGAGCACGTGTGGGATATGATGGGTAGGAGATTGCTCAATTTGCAACGTCCTCCTCAGACTCTAGAAGCACTTCGAGAGGAGTTGGTGGTTGCCTGGAATGAGATACCACAGGAGGACATTGACCACCTGATCAGAAGCATACCTAGGCGCGTTGGAGAATGCGTAGCACATCAGGGTGCATCCACACATTATTAAAGGTCAAAGGGCTTTAAAGCAGTGCAATCATTTTGAAATTTTGATCATTTACTTATTATGCTTCATTAAGTACTTGTACAAAATTTTATTAAAATAAAACCATTTAAACTGGGTGTTCGGATTTATATGTCACTTAGTATATATACTGATAATGTTAATAAGAACGAAACGGCGCTGTTTTCGGTAAGTCATGGTCACAGTACACTAAGCAGACAGATCCTATTATCAAACTATTCTCAACAAAAAAAAAAAATGAAGAAATTATAATCTCACCAATAAAAGATATAAGTTATTGTTCTATGCCCAAAGCATCTGTCAGCGAGAACATTAATCCTTTCTCTTAATTATCTACAAAGGTGTGAAAAATGTTACATATTATCCAATATACTCTACACTATCAGTTTTGTAAGAACCATTCTATACTATTTATGGTTTTTATCGGGGTCATACGATTCGCTTTGTGCAATCAAACATTTATGGTGTGAATCTGAACCACTTATAGGTGTATCCTGTTAAGTTTTCGTGATTTGGTGAATAAAAAATGTTAGAGTACTCAGAATCAAGGTGAGATGGATTATATAGATTAACTGTGTATCTATTGTATCTTGTACCGAGGAATTTTAACCATTCTCCGATCTGAAGATGATTGTTTACTGCTATGCATGAAGATAAAATGTTTAATTTTTTTCAACCAAGTGCCACTATTACTTTCCACGCTCAGGCAATTGTGACCGAGAAACATGTCTCGCAACATGACGCTGTTGTTGTTGTTCACCTACCTAATCGGTTTAAGGCATTTGATCCTTGTTTTCTATATTACTGCTTATAGCAGAACCACTACCATATTCAACCCACCGCCTGTACCTTCCAAAAATTAGCGGAAAAAAGTCCTGCCTTCCGCTTATCTTCCCTTTTTCCACATTTTCAATATTGCAAATAACAAAACCAAAAAATGAACATATACTAAGTGACATATAAATCCGAACACCCAGTATTAAATGGTTTTATTTTAATAAAAGTTGGTGAATGTATTTATCTTACTGTAAATAACAAGTGAAAAAATTTTCAGGCTTATCAGTTGGACATTCCGGTTTTTATTTTGCTTTTTTTTTAATTCACTAACGCTCTAAAAATGAATATTTCAACCGCAGTAAAGAATCAACGTTGGCGGATTTTGGTTCTTGACATCCTTTACGATCGGTTACGATGCCTAGAGTACGGAGACCTGTACGATTTCGTCAACTTAGTGAGTTTGATAGGGGCCGTATAGTGGGACTTCGGGAAGCTGGACTTTCTTTTCGGGCAATTGCAGTTAGAGTGCAAGAAGTGTGTACACTGAGGTTAGGTGTTTGTCAGGCATGGCTTCGAGAAGGCCGTACGCAAAGAGCAAGGAGCACTGGACGCCGCCGTAGAACAACAGACCGTGAAGATCGCCGCCTAAGATTATTGGCCTTAAGGGACCGTTTCTCCACTACCAGGTCCATTGCAAATGAATGGTTTGCAGAACACGGAAGACCTATTGGCATGCGAAGTGTTTACTGACGAATGAGAAGTTTTGGCTTATTTAAAACCGGCCACACTGGGTCCTCCCTTTAACTCGAGAACACCGACGTAATCGCCTTGAGTGGTGCAGACAACGGTCACTCTGGGATCAGGAATGGAACAGTATTGTCTTTAGTGACGAGTCTCGATTTTGTTTAGGCATGCACGATGGTCGTGCCAGGGTTAGAAGGCGACGTGGTGAAAGGAGGAATCCACAGTTTTTTGTTGAAAGACATGTTCATCACACTGTTGGAGTTATGGTTTGGGGTGCTATAGCTTATGGTTCCAGGTCACCTTTAATCTTCATCAGACGTAACATGAACGCGCAGCGTTATATCCACGAAGTTCTAGAACCCCATCTTTTACACTATCTTGACGCCCTGGCAGATCCAACTTTCCAACAAGATAATGCCCGACCACATGTTGCAAGAGTCACAATAGACTTCTTTCAACATAATGATGTCAAATTGTTACCATGGCCACCAAGATCTCCCGACTTATCCCCAATTGAGCACGTGTGGGATATGATGGGTAGGAGATTGCTCAATTTGCAACGTCCTCCTCAGACTCTAGAAGCACTTCGATAGGAGTTGGTGGTTGCCTGGAGTGAGATACCACAGGAGGACATTGACCACCTGATCAGAAGCATGCCTAGGCGCGTTGGAGAATGCGTAACCCATCAGGGTGCATCCACACATTATTAAAGGTCAAAGGGCTTTAAAGCAGTGCAATCATTTTGAAATTTTTATCATTTACTTATTATGCTTCATTAAGTACTTATACAAAATTTTATTAAAATAAAATCATTTAAACTGGGTGTTCGGATTTATATGTCACTTAGTATAATTACAGAACAAAAACGAGATATTTTTGAACTGCCCAAGGTTAGTAAAATGAGAAAAGCGTGCCCATGTAGATTGTTCCACAATCTCGATATGCTTAGGACAAAGGAACGGTCGTATCGGCCAGCTCTGGACGTACAAAGTTCGGTTAGGATGGGAGGCTGAAGTCAGGAGGGTCTGTCTGGCAGGCACATAGTGTGGCGGCAACATGGAGGAGATCTATGAGGAGCAAAGCCGATTGGCGTACCGCTAGAAGAGAGCTAGATTGTCGAAGGGCACTCCTCTGAAGAGCATCGGGCATGGATAATGTAGTCGGGGCGGCAGCACCCTAAAAATGTGAGCAGGACTCGAAGCTCGCGTGAGGAGGTGTTGTGAAGAAAAGTATTTCTTAGCCCTAAACATATAGCCTATCTTTTTCCTAGCAGCAGCCGCTATCGATGAGGTCTGTTCGTGCCAGATCAAGTCCCCAGTGATCTGGACTCTCTTACTTACTTGGATCTTTCTGTCTACACGTTTTACCACTATTTCTATTTCTTATCGTACCGACCGATGAAGGGTTTGTGTTCATATCGATCGTTGAGGTCACCAGCAAAATCTACAGGGTGTAAACGTTATGATAGTCATTATTTAAATGGGTGATAGAGGGAGTTAAAAGAAGTAAGAAGTTTCATGTAACATTGGGGTCAAAACGGCATTTTTTTAGAGAAATGCGACTTTAAAGTAAAATAAAATCTGAGAACGCCGCAATGCCAGACGCAAATTACGACGGAACGCAGTGTAAATAAAGATGGAGCTTGTTATTTTTGGCTCTAAGGTATTATTTCAGTATTTGATAATGTACTCGTAAAATGCAAACAATTAAAAAAAACGGACTTACCACTTACTGTCTCAGCGCTTCACCTGGTGTGTGAAAGTTTATTGAACGTATTAAAAAAATCCACTTATCAACAGGGAACACAATTTTGATACATACCTACATTGTTTTTCTTTTTAAAACTCACACTGCACTTTTTTGTATCTAAAGAAGGTGTTCAAAATGTCGTCGTCCACTTTTCACACAAGCTTCTTTACGACGAACCCAGTTTCTTCTTACTCTAGGTCAGAGTTCCCCAAACTTTTTTGTGTCGTAGACCCCTTGCCATGTTTTTCCGTGTTAGGTAGATCCCCTACTTACCTGATATTGATTTCCTGTAAATTTCTAACTGTAGTGAAGTTTAGTGTTAAAAACTTAAAGTAAAAACACATGTTAATTTATACATTTATTGATTGAATTTAAATTGAAACTACTCAAAATAAAATTTTGTATCTGTTATGTAAAATATACGTAACATTAAATAAACAGGTGTCTGACCATTAAGTGCCCGCATTGGGAATAAGTGCCCGCATTGAAAAAAAAATAAGAGGAATGAAATAAAAAAAGTGAAAAATAATAAAAAAAAGTTTTTTACTTAAAATAGTACAACAAGCGAGTTCGTTTATTAATTATAACATAAACGTATGTTCTACAATAATTTCACTGTTAGTTTGATTAAATTCCGCTTCTTATACGTTTAAGTTATACAAAAATGGGTAAAAAATTAACGAATTTTAGTGTGTACCTATCCTTGAATTTTCAGAATAATTAAAAAAAAAATATTTTCTATAAAGGGGGGTTCTTTAAAAAAATCAATGCGGGCACTTATTCCCAATCCGGGAATTTATTGGTCAGACACCAATAAACATAAAATAAACTATAAATAAAATAACATAAGCAATAAGTCAATATTTTTAGTGAGAAGGATGAACCTGATGCTTTAATAATAAATTATCAACATTTGGCGTCAATTTTGTAAGGGTTAATCTTAAATCTCCTCGGCTAATGATGTCCAGTCTGTTTCTTTTTTTCGTTAGGAGATTGGTAACAGCGCTGAACCCTCTTTCCACTAGGTATGATGATGGAAAGGAAATTAAAAATTTCCTCGCTATATTCCATAATACGGGATAAGTAACGGGTATGTTGTTTTGCATCCAGAATTGCTGATATCCGTTTTTAAACTGAACCTTAAGTTCTTCGTTTGTACTTAGTTCAGCCAGTTCCTCTTGTATTATGACATTCGTTTCTTCTATGTCACCATATGGATTAATTATCCACGGTGGTATTACAATAGTCAAAATATCCTCAAACCTAGATTCAAAATCTGAATAGAGGGCATTTAAGTGTTGAACGTAAGTTGAAACGTCGGCTTCCTGGCAGCTTGTCTGTGACAAATTGGGGAACTGAGAAAATTCGCCCCGTCCAATATTTTGCTTCATTAGTTTAACTCTGGCAAGAAACGCTGATAAGATGGACTTTGTTTTAATCAAATTTAAACTGTCGTCTTGTAATTGCAAATTAACCATATTAAATTTTGTAAACACATCTGTTAAATAGGCGATGTCTGTTTTCCTCTTCATTAAATTTTCTTTTAAAATTTTATCTTTAGTATCCACAAATTCTAAAATAGTCTAAAAAAGTGCAAAAAATCTTGTCAAACATAAGCCTTTCGACAGTCAGCGTACTTCAGTGTGAAGGAGTAATTGATGAAAGTATTCGTCATTTTCTTCACACAACTGCGCAAATAACCGCGTATTCAACGCGTTGCTTCGGATTCGGTTTACTGCATCAATGACTAAATGAAGTAATTCATGCAATCTAACACTCAAATTTTTAGCAACTAAATGTTGTCGATGGATGACGCAATGTATTGCTAACACCCCTGACACATTTTGTTTTAAAAAGCTTATAAATCCACGATAACGTCCAACCATGGCAGGTGCTCCATCTGTAGCTACTGATATTATATTTGATAAAGGAATTGCTTTTTCAATGAAGTAATCCTTCAAAACATGAAATATTGATTCACCTTTAGTGTCGGTTATCAAAGTTCTTGCGAAGATTTCTTGATTCATAATAAAACGAACATATGCCAATAATAATGCTGCATTATCAGCTAAAGTTGACTCGTCCAGTTGTATAGAGAAATGGGTCGTTTGCAAATAATTACATAAGAAGCTTTCAATATCAGAACCCATTTCATCAATACGTCTTTCAACAGTATTGTTGCTTAAGGGAATTCTTTTAATGATATCAGATGCAGGTTTGTGTAAAACAGTTTTTAAAACCTCTTCAACGGCTGGCAAAATTAACTTCTCTCCGATAGTATGCGGTTTTCCGGATTTTGCTATAAGTAACGAGATATTGTAAGACGCCCGCAAACCATCATCATTTCTTTGTGACGTTGAAGCGAACATTCTGTCCAGTGTAGGTCTCTTCTGAAATTTATCTTTGAGTGTTTGAAAGTATTTCAAATCTTTCTCTGTTTTATCAGGGTGGCATCTTCTCAGATGATCTTGCAGTTTAGATGGTTGCATAGCGTCATTGCCCAAAACTTTGTTGCATAAAAGGCACATAGGCGATTGTTTGTCCGGCAATGATGGAATGAAGCCAAATTTCAAATAATCAACACTGTACTGTCTACATTTCTTTTTAGATTCGGACATGACATCAGTCATCTGTGGGCAAAATTAAATTATTTAAATAAGACAGAAAATCGAGCAGCTCGATATTAAAAATATTTTTTGATTTTTCCGAAAACATTCCATAATTCGAACATCTTCTTGCAACAATTAGCTCGGATTACGGAGATTGCACTATAATTATATTACCGATTGCTAAAACTTTCAAAAATAAACTATTGAGGAGTACTCATGTAATTTTGCATGATTGAATATTCAACTACTAATAACTAAAGTCATGATTGGCGTAATTTATCTATCTTTGCTAACTACGAGTACAAAACTAAAATTTAATAAAAAATAATACTATCTGTTTATATTTTTTAAAATATTTTCTCAGCACTTTCCTTTTCAAGATTCAGGAAACGAATAAACGTATTTGTCCCACATTCGTATTTATAGAGTGACGAATTGAACAAGTCAGTGCAAGGTAGCGAAGCTCTGAGACTGCGACTCTCAGGTTTTTACAAGTTCAAAATGTATTGCGACCACAAAGCGAATACCAACATCCTACAACTTACACAATTTTATAAACATATATAATAAATTTTTTACTATATAGGTACTTTTATAAATTTGTTTGATATTATAAGATATTATGATGTAAGTAAATAGGTACTATCAGTGTATGTGTTGAGATCCACTATCGTGGGCCCCCATAAGTAGATGTCTTATGGGGATTCGGTCTCAAAACTTCCAAAATCCGCCACCAGAGGCGCTGGCGTCGCGCGCCATTGACAGGTTGTTGGACGGAATCTGTATTCATGAGTTGGGGATTCCGCCGCTAGATGGCGCTGTCAAACCAAACGGAATCTGTGTGTCATTGGACACCTGTCATGCGTCATTGGGCATCTCACGCATAGATGGCGTTAAAACGTCATCTGTCATACGTCATTGGACACCTGTCATTGATGGGTTGGGCATCTCGCGCATAGATGGCGCCGATTTGTTTGGCGCTGTACAAACCTAACGGAATCTATGCGTCATTGGACAGCTGCCATTGATGGGTTGGGCATCTCGCGCATAGATGGCGCCGATGTCGCACCTGTCTGGTGTTGGCGTGGATTACGGGGGGCAACGTGTATACAGGGGTGCATCGAAAAATAGCGGATCGATGGACCGACGGTATATCGTTAAATCGTATATAGCAAGGCGTGACCTAAATAGCGTGGTGGGCTCCTCTGGTCGGTCGGTCGGTCGGTCAGAATGTCTCATAACCTGTATACGATGTACTGTTATTATTATACAGGATGATACCGTTCAAAATGAAAATAGTATAATGGATATTTTATTGAAACATATAGTATATATAACAATAAGGTTGATTGGTGTGTGTGTGTGTGCCATGTTTTGAATACCCGCGCTTGAACAACTTGCAACAAGAAATTCCGACAATATTATTTCGCAAACCAGAGGTATTTTCAATAAAACTACATATCAGGGAGTACTTTAGATGTTGATACTAATCGACTCAAATCATTGTTCGACAACTGATTTGGTTCATGACAGACAAGAATCAAATTATGTATTTCACGGTTCAGTTCTGGTTGTTTTTTAATTTTTTCCCTAAACTTCAGGTAACCCAGGAAATATGTCTCTTATCCGTCCTCTGTTCAACACATCAGTAAAATCGTTAGAAAATTCTATATATGACATATTATTATAAAAGGTATAGGACCGTCCTGCGTTTGATTGAAAAATAGCATTGATTCGAGCCCTATCGGGTATATCAATTGAAAAATTATCAAGAAATTTAATGGTAGGGAATGATGCTGAGAAATAGTTGTTTGGAGACACAATGGTAATCAAGTCACCGTTTGTTGATTGGAAAATATGTTGTAAAGTGTATTGACGTAATTCTGTAGGAACATAATCGACAAGAAGTTCAGGCTGAGATGGGATAATCATTTCGTTTAAGTCTAGTTTCCATATAAACATATCATGTGCAATATATAATCGGTAATTTGAAAACTCTGGAGCAATAGCTAAAAACATAAAATCTGGAATAATATCACACAAATTTTTGAGGATCGGCTGCTTACGAGTTGTAGATCTTATAGTTGTTGTTGTTTTTGGTATTGCTGATGCGGTGGTAGACGTTGGGATTGAATCATATTTGTTTTTTCTTCCATATAGATATTGTACTGCATTTATATCATCAACATCTAGACCACGAATCTCATGCTGATAGAAGGCAAACATAATAGCATTCGGAGAAGCACTATGTGCTATGCCGAGAGCATGTCCAATTTCATGAACCAACACCTGATAGAGAATGATGTCAAAAATCTCAGATAGCAAATATAAATTCGTTTACCCCCCAATCAAAATCTTGACTGAAAAAAAATTAGGCAGCAAATATACAATAATCATACACGAATTTACTATATTTCTAAATTTCTACTCTCATGTGCAACTTGTAATTGGAATTTCCGCCGGACAAACGATACATTCATGTATTACTAAGAAATTATATAAAAAATACTGCAACCGCAATGAATGTTGTTTTCTCGATAAAAATGGTACTGAGAATATGATGCATATAATATGCATATTTACGATACAATTATCTCATGCACGCGTGTGTTATCTCAACCACGTATTTATATTTAGCGAGCGCATGCAATAGTCATCATTGTTTCACACTTAACGCACAACGCTGCAAGCTGGAACAACGGCCGCAGTACAATAGTGCTTCGAGAGAGACGAGATAGCGAAAATTTTAAAAAAAGTAAGTGCTATTTTATTTAATATTTTTCTTTTTTATGTCTCTAAGTGCAACTGTTTTTTCGTGTTATGCTTCAAAATAGTTAGACGACTCAATTTTTTTTATAGATGGATTTATCAAAAATTAATGCTGCGTCTTCGATTGTAGACCGCAAACCTATCAGAAAATTAAAGGACCTACCAGTCGGGACACCATTTGCAATCCAAGCAGCTAAAGTGGTCAAGTCGAAATTTGGGGAAGCCGTGCTACTAGATTTAGGACCGGAAGTGCTATTTCTACCACAGCGGGTGACGGAAACGTACCAGCCGGTCATCGACGAACTTTTTCACGGAAAATACTCGATCATCTTCCAAGGGGAAGTGGACGTAGGGAAAAGCCGACCGCTAGCATCATTCAAAATAGTGGAAAATTAACAAAGCAGAGAACAGGAGGAGGAGGACAGGGTGAGCATTTTTATATATTTTTGAGTAATGTGTTTGCTTGAAAAAAAAAATGTCGTCTTTTCAAATGTCTTCAAATAAGGTTAAAAAGATCATCAAACAAACAGACGGTGTTCTACTATCAATTGTTAGTCTACGGAAAATTTTATTTGATAATTTTACAATCAGAGACGCGGAAGTGTGGCTGAAACGAATAGAAAAACAAATTAGATTATGTAAACGGGTAATTCGTAGTAGAAGGCAAAATAAATTATCTGTAGGGACCTGTAGAAAAGTAGAAACAAATTTGGGGCATTTTAAACATTTTAGAAAGTTGATTTTAACTAGACATATTGGGGCAGGACTTCACTTAACATTGGGTCAGAGGGTTAGATGGGAAAATGTAGAATCGAGCTTTCAAAGTAGAATAAAAACCGGTTCCATAGCTAATTTGCGTCATAAGGACTTGAATCAATTTTTAGCAGATTGTGTAGTTGTTTTTAAAAGGAAAATTAGGAATATTTTGAACACCCATTGTGCGCTCAAAGTAAATACAACATTTTGCGGGGAGTTTATTAGGAAATCGGGGGATAATGAAATTTTGGGAATTAAATATATTAATACTAAAAATCATATTATTGATACATCAACTCAAATAGACGAGTGGTTTAAGATATATGTGAAAGATAAACTTTTAAACGAATTATCGGAATTTGCTGAAAAAGATTCGGGATTTGCGTTAAATAAAATTATTTCCTTAGTTGTTAATATCAGTAAATATCAATTGGGAAACGGTTCATCTTATATTAGACTACCAGAACCGATTATAAGGAAAAATGCTTGTATAAACATTAAAAATATAGATCAAAATTGCTTTTACTGGGCCATTGTAAGCGCTCTTCGGACTCCTAGCAAAAAAAGACATGCAGAACTAACCTCCTCATATCCACACTTTACTGACGTTTTACAAACAGAAAATTTAGATAGTCCTATGCTGCTAACAAAAATTTCAAAATTTGAAAAGATGAATAACATTTCAGTCAATGTTTACGCTTTAGAATTGATCGAAACAGAAAAAAAATCATTTTACATAGTAGTACCAGCAAGATTAACGGAAAATAAACGGGATACGCATGTTAATTTACTTTTAGCTCAAAATAAATATTATCCGCGTTTAAATGATTATGATGCTCCTCCACCAGCGCCAGCAAATGAAGATAATGATTCAATCGATGAAATTAAATATCACTATTGTTGGATTAAAAATCTTTCGCGTCTTATTAGTAGCCAGTTAAATAAACATCGTGAGAAAAAATTTATTTGCGATAGATGTCTGAACTATTTCCATCAGCAAAATAAATTAGTTGAACATGAAAAACTGTGTTCTAAATTTAATAAATATAAAATTAACCTTCCTAAAGAGAGCTGCGTTGAATTTAAAAACTTTACATACCAACAAAATACTCCTTTTGTTGTTTATGCAGATTTTGAATGTCAATTAGAAAATCATAAAGAAAGTAGCGTCGTAAATTTAACTAAAACCATAAAATATCAAAAACACGTTCCGTATAGTGCTGGTTTCTATGTAAAATGCAGCTATGATGATAGCCTTTCTTATTTCGAGAGCTTTCGAGGTGCAGATTGTATGGATTGGTTTGCAAATCGTATGGCTGGTGTTGCGCAATTTGTAAACTCAAAAATAAAAACAA